CTGGTGTGGGAGCTGTGAAGGTTATGCAGACCACATGGTCCGCGATATGAGATGATGGGGCAGTCAGAGAAAAGGTTACCAGTGGAGGGATCATCCTGTAAGATGGGGTAGTTGTCGTTAATGGTCCTGACGACAGAAAGGGTGTTAGGGAAGCACCGTCCCATCATTTGAAGATTACTTCTTCAATTTTTAAAAAAATATTGACACAGCTATTAAGTATTAAGACATGCTTATTAAAGAGCTTTTTAAGAAAATACAATTGTTTTCTAATGTTCACTTTTTAAGGCCAAAATGGCAACTCTCATGATTACATTATGATATTAAAGACTAATTTTCCTGTTCACGCGAACATACAGAAAATACTAGTATACTAGTAGTAAATGCAAAATGAACCACTCCCTTTCCCCCACCGGCTAAATAGAGAAACAAAATTGCAGACATCCTTGCATCCAGTAATTCAGTACTTGAACTGCCTAGACAGTTACTACTATTGAAGTTCACGGTACCTGGCCTGGTCACGTGTTTACTGAAAAAAAAGGTGCTATATATCGGGAAGGAAAGCACATGGGACACATACTTTCAATGGTACAAACAAGCACAAATGGAGCACTAAGGAGACCATTTTGGTTCTCCTGTGCTGTTGCAGAAGGTGTCACACCCCAAAAACGAAAGCACTATAACTAGGGAAGGAAAGCAGCACAAACGTTACTTTCAACAGCACAAACTCAGCACTAACGAACGTGGTGGGCTTTGGGGTTTGTGTGGTTTGTAGGGGTCCAACTTCACAGAGCTCTTTAATGTTTACTTAAGATGGAGCGAACGTAAAAGGAAAGATTAAAGTATATAAATTAGATAGTTTATATATTTGGTTTGAATAACAATCCCATGCTCTACTGATACTGTAGCTTATTGGGTTTTCATTCAGAACCAAATCATCAATTAGATATTTGATCCCATTACTGGGTTATATTAGCCCAGATATAGGGTATTTTTAACCATTGACACAACTGTGATTATATGGACTGGATATTACTACCTCACCAGAATTTGTTGTTTTAGTTGAGAAACCATTGACTTGGTTCATAAACAGCCTAGTCCTCTACGGAGACCATGTTTTCTGTTTTTTATTCTATCAAAGTTCTAAATGACTTAATTTTATCAATTATATGACCGATTGAAAATTCTAAACACTGCTGCCAGGTTTAAAGGGATGGTGATTTAAATGTACATATAAAGCTTCCAGACACGTAAAGCAGAAGGGTTGTGCTGCTGCCAGAAAAGCTGCACAGATGTATAAATCTTCCAAGGTTAACAATCCAAGCGTTCCTCCTACTGGCCAAAATATTTAGAAGCAAAACCTCATAATTCTTGCTATTCTATGTGATGCTAAAGACAACCACAGATTACTGTTTCACAGGCTGGGTGGTTGAGTCTTATTTTCCTTTCTAGAACAGACCAATTGGGTAGAAATCATGTTGAATTGAGCTCAGGAACTAGCCTTATTATATCATGTTGGTCAAAACCATGTTAGTTGAGAAATAGCTGCATATTGGAATAATGTAGCACAGTATCATGTTACAACAGATACATAGTATTCATAATGTATATCCGAATTTAGTATGTATCAATTACACAGGCACAGAACAATGTAATGGGTCACTGCTGAAAGTAGAGACCTAAAAGGCAATTGGCAATTCCAAACCATATTATAATAGAACACAAATATCGGTAAATAAGTGAAAAGTTAGACAAATGAATTGTGAAGCAATATATCAATTAATAAGTTTACAGTATCAGTGTACTGATAGTCTTTTTGTTGATGTTCTTCTAATGAAATACATTTTAAACCAAAATAAAAAAAATTAGACATTATAAAAATTGTTTAAATAATACACAATCATATTCAGTATTATTCTCAAATGAACAAAAAAACAGAACATTTCCAATGTACAGAAAACATAATAATATAACATTCTGGTTATAGACAATTTAAAATTAAGTTAATTGACTAAAATTATTTGTAATTTCAAACATTGTGACTAAAGTGGATTTCACAATGCAGATCAGTGTACATATACAGTATATTGTGTTATATGGAGTAGCAGACTGAATTACTTCAGCAGACTGAAGTAATGCTACCCTATATTTTAGTTAATTCACAAGAACACTACTTGGAGGGATGCAAAAGTGTTCAATTAATTATGTATAGTTAAACAATATAATTAATATAGTTAACAAAACATAAATGCAGTAGAATTGTATAATTGTCTTTATATATAGACAGAGATATGAGGGACAATAGGAAGGTTTTGCAATTCACATTTATCTTAAGTATCTTAGATGCTTTCTATTGTTTAGATACAAATAACACAGGAAAGTAGAGTAAAACTCTTAAAATTTTAACTTTCACGGACACTTTACTGTCAAAAAGATTTCAGTTATTTTTTATATTATTCGTATTCTTATTCTTATTAATAATAATAATAATAATGAAAATAATAATAATAATAATAATAAATTATCCCAACATTTGCAGGCACAATCACCCTTAAAAAGTAATGTACACTTCAGTTATCTCATTTGGTTACTAGTCATACCAAAGACAATGACTATCTCTTACACTCTGTTATGCAAATAAGTTTTTACTTTACAAGCTTTTTAATGCTTAATTAGTTAATAAATAATGCCTGTTTCACAAAAATAAATATTCCCAGGGAGAACATGGTAGTCTTCTGGGAGAAAGGAACGTTGGCTGAGGGCTGTGAAGTGTAATACTTTTTACGTTCTTCACTAATAGTTTCTACAATGAGCTGCTCAACCAAAACACACAGCTGCCATCCTGACACACTTAGTTAGATAAAACAATACAAGGATCAAAATTATTTTTGGTCTCAGATTCAGACTTCAACAAAAAACATTAGTACATCTTATTTTCTATAAAGACATATCTATGCATCTCAAGCACAGCCACAAAAAATTATTTGATTTGACTGGTTTGGTAGGAAGGTTCTATACAATTTCTCAAGAAGTGCAAAATAAACTGCCTCTTTACTAATAGAATTAAGATTTCTTAAAATAACAATTAGGATCATATTCATTTACTAACACAGTAATTTTACTTTTTGACAAATAACTGAACATTACTGTTTTAAATTACTGTACTAATCTTTGATTTAATTACAGCAATTGGGCATTTTTAAATGTGAATTAAGAACAGTTTTACTGTAACAGAAAAATAAGAGAAAGAGATAAACCAAAAACAACTAATACAACATTTATAACACATTTACTCTTGAATTTAAAATAATGCACTTATTCTGTAAAATCACTAGAGGGCTCCAATACAAAACAATTGGAAGAATAAGTAGGCAAAAAAGTATAGAAAATGTTAGTGGGAGCCAGCAACCTTCTCCTCTAGGATAGTATGAAATTCTTTCTCAGAGTGAAACGGAGACTGATGCAGTACTTATTAGTAGGGTTCCTCTGGTTGTGATCGTAGATCATGCCATTGACTTCTGTGTGGACATCAATCAGATCCATTTTCCTTTAACAAATCAGATTAAATTAATTAAGAGACTTTAGAATTTCAATGAGTATTTCAAAAATATTCAGAACCTAAATATTTATATATAAAATATGTATATTTATTTACTAACATAGCAAGTTAGATGTAAGTATAACTAACAACTATAAACTATTTCTACACCAGTAGAATAAGCATCAGACCGTGTGCCATAAGCAAATCCAGCAGATTTGTGCTCTACCTCTGTTATATTACAACTACAATTATAGTTATAGTAGAACAATAATTATTTTATTGTAGCAGGACTGTGCTTTACTTTCACTAAACTTTTGGAAGAGATATCAGACTAAAAGCAGTAAGCTATTCTATATTTACAGCACAGTTCTCAATTATGTAATTATACAGATTTACATATATAATATTGGTTACTTAGTATTACTTATTTTATTTTAATATCACTATAATATTGTTAAATAATTATACTAATCTACAGTACATATATAATATTGTTTTCAGATGTGAGGCATCCAGTTATTCTGAGATGTACAGTGCTTACTTTACACCCAGAACCACAGTTCTGACAACAGTTCAAATTCAGCAGGTGGACAAATTAATAAAATTTAATTTATAAAGGACAAAAAATAGAAAAAATTGAAATTACTAATGTTTTATAAGCCTTTACATTGTGGGATTACATAAATTAGGCCACCATTGCAAATCCCAATCTAAAGCATTTAAAGATGAAGTGTGGAATGCCATTTTCTACGTTCTATTTGAACACTGAAACATCAGTGTAGTAGTCCTTGCACTTGTTCTGCAAGCTGGACCTCGCAGAAATCAGACTCCCCACCAGACATAAGCATCTGATGCAAGGTTGACTCAGCACTCTCCTGATAAGACACTAAGTTCATGGGCACCTAACAAGGTGGAGACACCAATGTTGCACATACAGAAAGAAAATTAGCAAATTTCAAATCAGACTTTGTGCTTTGGTAAGCCAACTGTTTTTTGCCACTGGATGAACAGTATGATAATGAAATAAAGACAGGTTATAACAACTTATACTTTGATTGCAGGGCCCAAATTGTGGTCCATGCATTGAATTTTATCCGTTGAGCCATTCAGGAGCTCCTAAAGGTACATTACTAAAAATCATCCCAGACTTGGAACTTCAGTCATTATCGTATTATAGCCAAGATCACAAAGCATAAACGTGCAATTAGCTGAGTCATTTGTTAGCCAATATCTTCACTTTTGGTCTAAAACCAGCTCCTGCAAATTTACAGTGACATCAAGATGCCTCTTCTCCAATCAGCACTCTCCTGTAAGGCGCAGTGGAGCTTATGATCCAATGACTAAAAAGTGTGAAAGATGTGCCCTTTAGAGGAGCTAGTCTTTATATTCCTTATGATGTACAGGAACTGGAGGCATAATACCACGTTTTAAACTAATAGCAATTCCAAATTGATTATGAGGGAAAAAACAGTTGAGAATGCTAATATTTAGAATCTAATTTAAAAAAAAGAAATTCCCTTACCTTTTCTGTCCCTTTATTAAACCAGCTGAGAGCGCCTGAAAATAAACAGAACTATGGTGTACTTTTTCTAGGTGACCGGCCTCTGTTTCACAGTAGCTCCAAAAAAGGTCAGCTTCAGTTGGGATTGACTCCACTCTGTGTACAACCACAGGCATGTCCGCTTCTATGTCATCACTGTCATCATAGTATGGCACAGGCTCTGACAGCACGTAGTTCTGAATGAAGAATAGTTTGGGTTTGCCCAGGAGGCCAGGACAGTGCTCCGGAGTGAAAAGCTGCCTGATGTTATCAAACAGCAACCCAGGGCCCTGTGTCTCAGTGCCCAGCATTCCAGTGGCAGTGCCACGACTAATGATGCAGCAAACAAAGCAGTCCAGTCTTTGGTGGTCAGTCATCCTGGCCGTCTCCTTCAGAAAGGCCAGGGTGTCATTCAGGCTCAACCACTTATACAGGATGACTTTGAAGCGCAGTTTGGTGAAGGTTTCATGAAGCATGTCTTGTAAAAAAAGTATAAAGGATTGGGAAAAAAATCACCAACACGGCTCACATAGAGTACAACAGGCATTGCTGTGAAATATTTTGTATTTTATTTGTTGTTTTTCAAGAAATCTTTATGGCTACTATTTGGCCACCAAATATTTGGTGTAGTTTTGCTGTGTATAAAGATTAAACATCCAGGATGTCCAGGTATGCCGTGACAGACTGAAATGTTTGACAAATTAATCTAAGTTTAAGATGTAACAACTGCATCAGCAATTATATTTATGGTTATAAAGTGTTCTTTTCAAGAAAGAAATGTTTACATTAAAGTAAATTCATTTTTTAAAGAAATCTATTGTTGGATGAACCTATGCCTTACCAATTTCAGTAAAACAGAACACCTTTAAAACTCACTTCAAACAAAAAACATTTGTTTTTAAAACAATACTGATTGTTTTTGATACATTTAAATTACACATTTCATCTAAACTTAAATTTTAGGAAATAGAAGTACAGATGGAAAGAAAGAATATGTACTTATATACAGTACAGTATTATCAATCCATCCATTTTCTAACCACTGTAGGGGAACCAGACCCTATTCTGGCAAGTAGAGGGTGAAAGGCAGTATCCGCCCTGGATGGAACACCAGTCCATCCCAGGGCAGACACAGACACGCACATATTCATATCACGGCCACTTTTCCCAGACACCAATTAACCTACCTGTATGTTTTTGGACTGTGTGAGGAAAGCAAGGCATCCCAGGGAAACCCACACAAGGAAGGGGAGAACGTAATCCACACAAACAGCACCCCAGGTCTGGAACTGACACAGGGCCCAGCACTGCAAGGCAGCAATGCTAACCACTGCACAACCATGCTGCACTACATTAATTTTTACTCCTAATTTACTTGTTATATTTTTCTCTTTTATCACGTCGAACTGTAACAATTGCAACATTTTCTGAGTCAGAGATACACTTACCTCCATCATTACCAACACAGTCTATGATCAGGCAAATTCCCCGAGGGTCCGTCTGCATTCTGTACACATCCTCAAGCTGCTTTAGCACAAAAAGAGGCAAACAGCTTAGTTTTAAAAGGCATTTCAATCTACACTAACTTTAGTAGAGAGATCATATAAATGGTTACAAATAAGAAAAAGACATTTGTGCCATCTAGAACATATTTGGATCAATTAATTTGCCATCTTAGTAACTAATTGATACAAAGATCTCTTCTTGCTTTTTCTTGAAAGAAGCCATGGTATCAACTTCAACAATATGGCTGGATAGCTTGTTCCAGACTCCTGCTGCCCTTTGGGTCAAAAGTGCCTCTCCTTTTCAATTATAAATGTTCTTCCACATAGTTTCCTGTTAAAACTCCCATAACAACATTATACAATTTTATACAATACTTAAAAATACTAAACATATAGTTTGCAAAGAACCACGAGCTGGAATACATCATGGGGTTTACAGACAGCAAAGATACTTAAAGGCACATGAAAGGAACACACACCTGAGTAACAGTTACAAATCAGAGGAGGACATTCCAGAACTGTTAGTGTTATGCATTTACTGCTGGATCAGTATACTGAAACAGTATACTGAACTTTCAATTTTTTTTTAGTTTTTACACTTCAAAACATTTTGCCAAGCAACACTTTGCACTTCTGCCCTCTTCTCCTCATTCTATGAAGATATCACTTACATCGTTCTCACATGCACTGTAAATTTAGAAAGACTGTTTGGTTTCAGTATTCCTTTAGCATGCTTTACCAATACTGGACAGTGTTTAACACATCTAGTGTTCGATGATGTCATTTGCACACACTGGGAACATTAACATTGCATATAATGAATGTCAAACATGGAATCATGCTGGAATCATTCTTTGAGCTGTGTTCCACATGTTAGAGTATCAGTGCTGCTATTAATAAATACTGAAAGCATACTCACCACCTAGTGTTAAGAGTACTTGCTACCCCTACAATGTAATACCAGCTGTGAGGACTTTGACTTCAGGTAAAATGTCGATTTGTATCTGCACCATATTTACCAGAATGCTGTCAGAAATGAGAAGCTACCTTCAGTCACCTGTGTGGTTGGTGCGAGACAATTGGTCAGGTGACAATTTAAAAAGCAGAAAGCTGAGGCTTTGAATCATCAGTCACTATCTGCAGTCTGGGGACAGAGTGCAGATCCTCTGTTATGCAAGCTGTACCGGAGGGAGTGAGACAATGAAACCACAGACTGACTGAATGTGTATGAGTTTTGGAAGTCACTATGAAGAATGTCGGGAAGAAACAGAGTTTTATGAAGTGGCTTAGAATGATACTGAAGTTAAAGGCCGTTAAGCAGCTTAGCTTCCTGGCTGTGATAGTCAGGAACTGAACAAGTCTAGACAGTAGTTCAAAAAGTAGCTTAGGCTTTTGTTTTGGTGTTTGGTTTGTGGTTGTTTTTTTTATTTTTGCACTGTAAATAAAAGTACTTTTCTTTAACTTACAGCTACTTTATGTTTTTGGTGAAAGGATCAAATTTATGAAACCCTGCACCAGGGGGTGCTACACCATCCTTTTGGGAATGAGGACCTTACAATTGTGATGATTGACTCATTGCAATGTCAAAAAACATAGAGAAGCACAAATTAAAGCAAGGTAAAGTTATAACATGGGAATCTTGGTAAAGGTACTTTTTCATAAGGATTTTAAGAGAGACCACTCCACAAAGCTTATGGGCTTTGCCCAGATAAAATTAAATGTGGAAGAGATAGTCACATAAGACAATCTGATGGAAATCACTCCTCTTCTACTGTCATCATCCTATACCACATGTTAATTCACCGAGCTTTCTGTACTACATGAACACTGAAGTGCATAATCTCAAAAGGATCACTCAGATCACCTGACTGTACTGCATTCCTGTTTCAGGCACTCCCGTTTTGATTTTCTCTGGAGCTGAAATACACAAATGCATTTATTAAAGAAGAGCAAAGTACCAACATTAGAAGACAATCAGTTATAAATTAGCTGTATTTTGCTGATAACATAAGAAGCTGCACTGCTGGGATACAACCAAGATGCTCAAAAAGGCCTCAGCTTGTAACTCACCATGAGCTGTGGAAGATTTCTGAAACACAGTTTGTGGGACAGCTTGAGAGCTACTCGCCTCTGGAGACTGCAGGAGAGCAAACACAAGGGCAAGTTTAAAGGTCTTCTTCAAGACACGCATGAAAGCAATCTGGGCACATTTTCTAGATCTTCATCAAGCAAATAATGGGAAGTAGTAAAAAGATAAATGCAATACTTTAATATATAGCAAAAATGTATAATTTAATTTTAGGGAAGTTATGTTCAAACTTTACAACCCACTAGTAAGGATTAAAAGTCCACTTTTAATCACTATACCACAAAAAAAATATTACTGCCTTAAAAAGAAGTGACAATAACCAAGAATGATTCCTGGTCTCAGGGGACTGTTATATATAGATAGGTTAAAAGAGATAACACTCTGAAATCTAGAACAAAGAAGAGTGAGGGAAGGATTGTGTTCAAGTACATAAACTCCTAAGGTGTTTTAAAGCAGCAGATGTCTCTTGATTCATTCCAGAGTCATTTCTACGGCTTCCAAGCCAGGACATCATTTTTCTTCTCCTGTCCAGAGAGCAAAACAGAATATATCTGCACTTTGAGCACCACAAGCTTGCTTGTGGTGAAAAATAACTGTAAAAAATACTATTTTTTACTATTACTATTTATTTAAAAAATAAATAGTAAAAAATAACTGATTTTTTACTCGCAATGACCTCACGTCAGTTTTCTATCTCCCTCAAAGAGGTATTGATTTGGACCAGTGATAACCGCAGCTCCACCCGAACACCACACTGTGACAGGGTGCAGACAGTATCAAACCAGGTGACTATCTTAACTCTATGAAACATGGAAAAAAAGATTTATTAAGGTTGTAGAATACTAAACATTTCTGCCCTGATTTGAACAATCCTTGAACAGGCATCCCAGATAGGCCACTTAGATCCAAACTCTGAGCAAAACAGTCTGATGAAATTTTAGTTTCACATAGCTAATGAACTACCAAATAAGCTTAATGAACAGAATGACCAGCTCTCGTTGGCAGACCTTTCTGATCTTCTCAAGAGATGATAGCTGAGACAGCTATCTCTGTACTTGGGAATACAGACTTTTGTTTCATGCTCAGAGGTTCAGAAAAATATCATTTTTAAAATTAATTATAGCCTTATTTCCATTTCAGAACATAGTCTGGTTCAATGCAAACTTCCTGGTAGATAAGTCTTTTTATAGTGATAGCAATTCATAATGTACTTACAGGTCTGAAGCACTGCCTTTTCTCCCTTTCAATCTGCAAATCAGCAGTTGACTTTGCACCTGTAATTTAAACAGAAGAGCTCTTTATAATAATATAGAACATTTCACAGGCATAAAAACAGCATCTCCGAGAGCAGCTGAGCAAAAGCTTTGTGTTTCACTGTAATCAGTTCCTGCCAGGATAAGGTGACTACTCATTTGGAGGCAAACTCAAACTAAACACTGAAATAAATTTCATTTATAATATTGTTACAGCTTTAGGTGACTGAATTATAATTCCTCTCACTAAAACTGTGCAAGAGAATAAAGAATTAATGTGCCTCTAATTATACTAGTCGTTCGGGTATGTTATAGTGAAATCACTTACAAGTTGTGGGGTTATGAATATTTATTTTACTTATTGACTAAATAGCTCTGTCAATCTCTGATTTTCACTATTTTCGTAACCCCCAATTTGAAACAATGTTAATAACAATACTGTTGGGCAAGTGAGTATATGTCTGGGAAAGGTAGTGGTGTGCTATAATATTTCTATATTACAGGTATATATGCATTATATATGGATAAAATAAAGGAAAATGGGTTGTGAGATGGAAAAGGCTGAGAAATTCTATAATAATACACTTACTCTACAACAACTATGTGACAACCACCATTCTTTGTATAGGGCAGTTCCAGTAATATCCACACATAAGAACTCATGATGACTACATGAAGGTTTATTGTGGAGTTTTTCAAGACAACAAAGACACAAACCGTAACTGCTACCAAACCGAAAAAACACTAGCATCATATGAGCCTTTTTTATTTCAAACACACGATCAACTAAACCCCATGTGACAATATAAACACTAGCAATTTTCACTAGTCAAATTCACATTGATTACTATGTCAACTGTTACAGCAATCGCATTATCTAACTGCCAAATTCAAACTAGCAAATGAAGGGACTGCTATAGCAGCCGACTTGTCACTAGTGGTAGAAGCATGTGGTAGTAACAACTACAGTACAGAGAGGAGGAGGTAGAGTAAACCACATTTCAGCTGTACATGGAAAAACAAGTTAAAATCCAAATTGGCAAAAATGCAAATTCCCAAAATACTACATTTTTATATATGTATGTTTCTCTTTGAAAGTGCACAGTTTAGGTAACCTTTTCCATTTTCTCTCATTTTTCATTTCTAATTTCTATCTGTACATCTACCAACAAATGAGCAAAAAAATGAAAGTACACAACTGCTCTTCAGTCTTTTAATAAGGCTCACACAAGCGACAACACAAGAACTGAAATAATCATTAAATCATTCAGCTCAAAGTCAGGGCTTGTCAGAACTCAAATCAACTAATGCCTTGGACAAATGCCATTAATGACATCACAGTCAGTCTATGTATTTTAAGCTTCGGGATAAAGTGCTTTTCTGGATGTTCACCATATTTGGTCATGAAGTTACCTTCTTAACAGAAAAACATAAATATTTTGACCTTTCATAAAAGAAGAAAACTGAAACCAAACTACAGAGATTCTTATAAACTGAGCATTTACTGTATATGATATTCAATCCTTCTGAGTTTCTTTTGATAAATTATTTCATCACAAGAAAAATCTGGAACAAAGTTGTCCAAGTTCAATTATTCTGATGCACAAAAGAACCACAAGACTTCTTCAACACTTGATATCTTCTAGATGTATTCAACTATTTTAAATGCAGATACCAAACAAAATCAAAAATACAAATCAGGATAAGCTTCCTGTGTCCTAGAAAGGTGGCACACTGTCAAAACAAAAAATTAAGTTAGCACTCAAAACCTAGATATTTTGCTATATGTGTCATACCACCTCCGTATGGGCCTAAACATTTGGCCTCTTAGGTTTTGTACTGGTTTTATTTTATAGCTGAAAAAGAATATGTGTTTTTTTATTCCAATAACAAAAATACTTAAGTTTTACAGCACTTTGCCTTTCAATAATAGTCAAAACTAGAAAGTCTAGCATGTCAACATTACAAATGTATTTGTTTTATTCTGACATGCAATGTACACGAATCAGTTGGAACTCTTCTTTTTTTTGAGTTGTGTACAGTGTTTTAGAATAGAAATGGAATTAAAAATGGTCAAGGAGTGAAATCCCAATTCCCCCCAAAAAATAAAATTCAAGATTGTAAATTTGAATTAGCATTTAACCAATATTGATAATAAACTTCCCTGCCTTGCACCCATTGCTTGCTGTGATAGGCTCCAGCTCCCCCAAGAGCCTGAAGAAGCAGTTAGAAAATGGAAGGATGGAGAGTAAATTTCAAGGTGGTGGAATTCTGAATTCTTAGTGCATCAGGACCCTCCCTGAACGTTAACAGTTCTCAGCAGCATTGACACAAAAGCTGTCTCTGGGATACACCACTCTTCCTGTAGTGAAGGCTGGATGGTAACAATTATCCTTATTGATATTCATTGGCTTTGGTGAAATGGTTGCACAGATGTTACACTGGACGCAGATCAGGAAAAAATCTGGCTATGGCAAGATTTTGATACAGTTTTCTGTAATGCCACTTTATTCCTAGCATTTTGAGCTTGTCTGACCCTACTGAAAAAATTGACACTTCCGGACAGGCTTGCCAGAACACACAAAATATTGGATGAGAACTTAAATTAAATTAATTAAATTGAGTATACTGCTAAACAGTTATTTTTTCCCTTAATCTGCACAATAGGAGATTATGTAAAATATCCAAGGAGACTATCTTTATGTTAAAGAAAAATGCTGAAAAGGCTTAATGCTCATCACAATGTATGCACACACTTTCTCCTAATTAATTCATTTTCAATCAAATCTATCAAGGAAAAATTCATTGGAAAATAAAACACGACAACACTCCACTGGAATAGCCTCTCATCTTACAGATCATTTACAAGCTGACGATGAGCTACAGTCACTCTGTGATATATATATATATTATAGTAATATATATTACAATATATATGTCTGGAATGCATCACGTTGCAGCGTCTGCACTTGAAAACAATTTTGCAGACAGGTCATTTTGATAATGCAGGATGGTGTTATTAGGCTTTAGGCGTCATTAGGCAGATTTTGGCAGATTTAATACTACACAAACATTTTTCTGGCATTTTAAGACATCAAATAAATTAACCTCAATAGTTTTATTATACAAAAGAATAATAACATTTAAATATACAAAGAGTCTGTCTGTTATTTAGAAACATTATGCATGTGCCCAGTGACCTACTGCCATAAAACTTAAGATAGCTAAAAATGTATAAACTTTCCATTTCTGTCTAAGCTAAATAAACTTCATTTTTTGAGAAACGTGATTGAGAGCAAGGAATTTGGTGATTTATCTCCTCTCATTTATAATCTCACTTCTGTTCTAATTTCAAGACTCCTGGTAGAAGAATTTTTCAAACTAATGGAATATGAATAGTTGTAAGTTCCCCCTTCTTACCTTTCCGCTGAAACACATTAATCTTCTTGGCTAAGTCTATTCTGTGAATGCCTCGTAAGCACTGCTCTATCAAATCCAGATTCTCATGAGAGACCATGTCCACCTTTTCCAGCTCCACTATGACATCGAGAAAACTCTGCAAAAAGTGTTAGAAGAGCAAAGTTAAGCGCTGCTTTTTGTCACTTTCCACAAGTGTTCAATTTTAACTCTTGTTCATTGCAACCAGAAATTGTGAATCAAGTGTACTTTATGTACAACACTTATACTATGGAAGATGTAGATCACATACATAGTTTTCCTCTGAGCTTTGCAATCTGACTTACATCTAGTTAAGAGCATAGGCTACACTTTCACCCATCCGTAAGCATCACTTTTTTTTATAATTTCAATACTATGTATAATCTTGTAATACTACAGGATCATCAAGTTGAACATCAAACTATCCAAACAATTTCAGCTTTATCCCAGCTAACCTGGATATATCAGGCTTCTGAAATCCCCAGCTGAACTCAAGTAAATACAGGAAATTAAGTTAAACTTTAAGGACATCCCCACAACTTTATCTTCAAACAATTACAATATTTTTAAGGTCATGATTTACACAACTACAATTTTTTTTTATTCAGAGAAAGTCCCCAATTTTCAGTGGACAGTTTATCATTTTGGTTTATTATCAATTAATGCTATGCTGTATTTTTCAGAGATATGTTGAAGCAGAACCCTTTAAAAAACATTCTGACTTCACAAATACACAATGCAGCTGTATCTGAATTTCCGAAGACAGTAAGATCACAGTGTTCTGTGTGCTGAAGTTATTGGGAATGTACTTTGAACCTTTTTTTAATATCAAAGATGGTGTGTAGAAAAAAGTCTAAACTAGCAAGCACATCAACTACAGGCACGAAATATACTGGTAATTAAGGGTGCAGCTAAAACACAAAGCAGTAGGTGCAGGGGTAATCTAGGACCAGGAATGAGTACCACTCTTGTACTCAGCAGTTCCCAAACCAGGTCTTGGAGGACGATGCAACGGCAGATTTTTGTTCTCAGCCAAACTTTCAGCTACATAACAGAATACTTAACTGGCTTAATTACAGGTTTCATTTGATCATTGTCACTGTTCTTAGTAGACAGAAAGAACACCTAAAAATCTGTTTTACATTATGATGTAATCCACACTTTCTACTAATAATTTATAACAGCTTTGACAGCTTTGATCCACATTACAAAAGGTATATAGAAACCTTCTGAAATAAGTTAAATGAAGTGAGATAAGATATATTTGAGGCCTTTAGGCAATGTGACAGAGAAAAGCAAAAGATTCAAGGTCTTGAACAGAGGAGACAATGTGGGGATATGATACAAAATTTAAAATCCTGCACCCTACTGAGAAAGACAGATAAATGAAAATAGTAATAATAGTGTTGTTGGTGTCAAGGACAATCCACTCAAGCATAATGTTAAAGCATATTCCCTGGGACCATTCCAGAAAAGGTTACATACTGTACATACAGCTACTGTATATAATCTAGAAAGATCAAATGGCTTCCTCTTGTTTGTAATGTTGAGTTATTATGACAAAACAAGAGGTATCTTATGAGGGTTGACAATGAGCTTGCTTGCAAAGGAGAAATAAAATATCCACCTCAATTTTTAGGATGTTTACAGCCTGAATACCACCTGTATACTCCAGACTGTACCCATTAATTTATTCAGTTTCACATAAGCCCTGGACTTTCAGCAATACCAAAATAAGTGTGTAGGCATCTTATTTACAGTACCAGCATTTTGTTTAAACTACCTCACAACAAAAACACAAAAATCCGAAGGATTGATGCATATGACTTCACATCAGTCGAAGTACAATTCAGTCGGAAGTTTTATTTTCTATCCAAGAAACGTTCAGTCCAACAAACTTCAAAACCACATACAACCTTTACAATACTTAAACGTAAAACCTTCTGAGTCAAAAGAGGCACCGTGTGTCCTTTACGGGGCCATCAGCAATTTACAAACTGCTCACCCTGATGGCTGTGTTATTGTTGCTGGCGATTTCAACCACGCAGATTTTAAGGCAGTCCTCCCTAAATTCTACCAATATGTTAACTTTGCAACCAGAGTGGCGAACATACTGGACTAAGCTTTTACAAATATCCACGATGCATACAAAGCTGCCCCCCGCCCCACCTGGGCTACTCTGACAACACTTCTGTGATGCTTATTCCAGCACACAGACCAGTGCTCAAACATGCCAAACCAGTTTTGAAACAGTTCAGGGTATGGCCAGAGGGAGCCACTTCAGCATTACAGGGGCTGCCTTGAGCACACAGACTGGAATATTTTCAGGGAGGCCGCTACCTATGAAAACTATGTCAATCTAGAGGAGTATGCAGCAACTTTGACTAGCTACATCAGCAAGTGCATAGATGATGTCACTGTCTCTAAATCTATTATCACACAGGCCAACCAGAAGCCATGGCTGACTGCAGAGGTCCGCGCACTACTAACAACTCGCAATGTAGCACTTAGATCAGGTGACAAGGAAGCCCTTTGGACTGCGAGGGCCAACCTGTCTCGTGCCATCAGGGAGGCAAAGCGCAACTATGCATGGAAGATTCATGGTCACCAGAGACACGCGGCACATGTGGCAGCGTACCCAGGCCATTACTGATTACAGGACTACTCCACGCGCCAGTGACGGAGAGTCCTCCCTTCCGGATGCGCTGAGTGACTTTTATTCACAATTTGAAGCACTAAATACAGTGCCTTTGAGAAAGACCATACCTCCTCCCAATGATCAGGTGCTTTGCCTGTCTGCAGCTGAGAGGAAGACATTAGCAAAAGTTAACCTGGACCTGGCAATATACCTGGTGGCGTGCTCAAGGAATGTGCAGCACAGTTAGCTGATATTTTTACAGACATTTTTAATATCTCCCTGTGCCAGGCTGTCATCCCTCTATGTTTCAAGACCACCATGATTATACCAGTGCCGAAGAAGTCTACTGTGTCCTGTCTCAATGACTATTGCCCTGTGTCACCCACAGCAATTGTGCTTCAAAATGCTAGTCATGGGCATAATTAAGTCCAGACTCCCCACCTCTCTGGGCCCCCTCCAGTCTGCGTATCGTCCCAACCGGTCTACCGATGATGCTGTATCCCTCGCCCTTCACCTTGCCCTGTCCCATCTGGATAAGAGGGACACTTATGTAAGAATGCTGTTCATTGACTTCAGTTCAGCATTTAACACAAACATCCCCCAGAAACTGATAGAAAAACTGAGCTTGCTGAACCTTAACACCTCCCTCTGTAACTGTATTCTGGACTTTCTGACCAAGAGACCTCAGACAGTCCGGATTGGAAACAATGTCTCTAGTACCATGATTCTGAACACCGGAACCCCCCAGAGCTGTGTATTTAGCCCACTCCTGTTCATGCTGATGACTCATGACTGCACTGCTAAGCACAGTGCAAATCACATCATCAAGTTTGCTGATGACATGACAGTGGTGGGCCTCATTAGTAACAATGATTATGCACCACACAGAGGAGGTGGAGCAACTAGCGGACTGGTGTTTCAACAACAATCTGTCTCTGAATGTCAATAAGACAAAAGAGATGATAATTGACTTCAGGAGGGCCCACGCTGATCACTATCCACTGCACATCATCAGCTCCCCTGTGGAAACAGCTAGAAGTACTAAGTTTCTGGGTGTGCATATCACAGATGACCTCACTTGGACCATCAACACCACCTCCCTAGCTAAAAAAGCACAACAACGTCTCCAAGTGCAACTCCCTGCAACGTCACTGGAGCCTCCCTTCCGTCCATTCAGGACATCTACCACAAATGCTACACACATGCCTCCAGTATTGTGGACGATCCCTCCCACAATACCCCCTCCTGCTACCTCTTTGCCCTCCTACCATCTGGTAAAAGGTATCACAGTATACGGGCCAGCTCCAACACCTTTTTTCATAGGCTGTCAGGCTCACAACACCCTGGTACCTACTGCACCTACTCCAAATCTGGAAACCTAGTTCTTTTTTTGCCTAATATCAGGCATACTGTCTAAAGTATTCTTTGCACAATCCTGTAAAGTAAAATGCACTATGTACATTGCACTTTATGTACCATGAACCCTGTCAGAAATGTCTATGTCTACATTGTCTATAGCATTGTCTTATCAGTGTCTGTCTGTATTCGCACTGTAGACCTGGAGAAGGATATCTCACTCCTCTGTATACTTGTATATGGTTGGACTGACAAACTTGAACTTTTATACACTTTGCACACATAATTATTAATTATTTATGGACTAAACGACAGATTTTGGAAACTGTCAAAATATGTCTGACTGAGATATGACCAGTATGAATTTCTATCATTCCTCAAAAAGGCCCATTAAAAATAAATACAAATACAAATAAACAGCATGCATTAAACTTCCTTGAATACATGTACATGTGTATTTATTTAGCATTTATTTAAAGAAGTCTAGGTATTTTTTTCCCCAAACAGATCTTACCTATAAGTAAACCCACTTTAATTTCAAACTTCATGATGACACTTGGCTAAAGCATGGGTTTCACATTAACACAGTCTTGGGCAAGACCTAGATGCAGCTAAACATATATAAACACCCTCTGTCATACTGAATTAGTTGACCAGGAACTCATATTCTTCAACCAGTATATATCCTTTTACCTGGTACATAAGTGAAATTGTACACGGATGTTAAGCAAAGATCTGAAGTCAAGGTTTCATTATTTTCCCAATCTTTACAAGACAATAGTAACAGTTAGGGGACAATACAGTGGTCTTGAATAATCTGCTTGTCAACTTTTCCAGAATAGATCTGACTGCTCTGATTTATCCCACTCTTTAAGATTTGAATGTAGCATTCAGCCTTAACAGTCTCTATCCCTTTTCAAGCTTTATTAGAAGTGATATGCTGCCAATGTCTGGAGTGAACAAAGTCTAGCTGCAGAGTTTTGCAACATATTAAGAAGAGTGTCTGAGGGCCCAGAGAGTAAGGAGTGCAGAAATCAAGCCCTGATATTATAAATACGTGAATCAGGCACTAAGCATCAGACACTGATAGAGATTACTAACCCTATGGCACACTGTTCACTTTCAATAAACTACTTATAGAAAACTCCTAAAATAGTTATATCTACTTTGAAATAGCTGAGTTTCCTAAGAAAAAAAAGTTTTATAAATGGTGTCACAACATTTGTCCCATTATTTTGTCTATGACCAGTCCCAAGTACTTGTAGTCACAGACAATTTCTACAGTCTGACCATTAATTACAGTAGGTTGGAGGGGTGTTACATTTTTCCTAAAATCAAAGAAGTTCCTTTGTTTTCAATCGTGAAAGAGAACTCCAGTAAAATCATTTGGAATGGCACCATGGGACCCAAAAATGGGACCATGATGCTTTTCTGGGTATTTTTATATTCTGACCAGGGATATGTCATCAGCAAACTCAATGACATATCTATCTGTGTGTTTGCTCTTACAATCATTAGTGTAAAATATTTACAGTAGGGGGGACAAGACACATGCTGGTGGTGATCCTGTGGAAGTGTAGGGAATGTCAGATAACCATTTATCCAATCTGACCTGTTGGGACCTGTTTGTTAAGAGGTCTTAGACCCATTTTATCACGTTACTGTTAAAAGTTCTTCAAGAGTTTCTGTGCAAGCAACATGATTGTATTATATTAAAAGTAGAGATAAAATCAACAAATAAGATCCTTACAAATGTCTTTGCTGATAAACCAACCAAATTAACAAACTGAGCATTGGATTGTCTACTCTCTCCTGCTGCAAGTAAGATTCTGTGTGTTCTTTGTGTTGTGTTGCTTCACTATTTATTATCACATAACTGATCTGCACATGATTGCAGAATTCTTCCTCACACATTATCTTGACATGCACGTTTCCTTACACTAATTCTCCTAAACTGCCTACACATCTCTTCTGTATCAGTTTTTATAAACTCTCTGGATTCTGGGAGATAAGAAGTGTTAGCTGAAGAGGGTGTGGGCTTTTAATCAAAACGGCTATAAAACACGTTTAAAGAATTTGACATTTGTTGCACATCCATCCCATTTAACACAAGGAATGGTATTACCATTACCTTTCTGACATATATTAGCCAAGGATTTCATACCCTGCAATGCCTATTGCCATGTTATTGTCTTTTTTTCTCCTGTACTGATCCTTAGCTTTCCTTCATGTTCACCTCTTTTCGCACTGCTCTCCTGACCTCTGTGTCTCTTTAAGAAAAAACAAGTTTATTTTTAAGAAATATATGTTTGTCTCTTGGCTGGATATTCACTGTCGCAGTTACCCATAGCCAAAATTAGGATGATATACTAATTGTATACTAATACAAGGTGGATGCTGAACATTGGTGGTGGTGGAGGGGATCCCCATTACCTGTAAAGCGCAATATAAGTGTATGCAATTA